TTGCTTCGTTACGAATAAATTGCCGAAATGCAATTGCTTGATCCTAGCTTAACATCCGTTGGATAAAAGTTTTTAAACGGTAGCGAAACCACGTATCTTCCTTCTGAATTCCTAGTAGTTGTTTTCAAGTACAGCTCTTCACAAAACATATCCTCGTCTGATTGAAGGTTATTTTTTGGGACTTCCTCTAACTCCCAGAACTTGCGTAGTTGGCTATCTAACGAAATGTCCTCTCCCATTGAGACTTTTGTAGCAAAGCAAGAGACGTGTGCAGTGGAAGATGCCCCAGTAACAATCCACCCGAACACCGTCTCTTGAGACAGAAGGTTGTATTGAATACTACGCTTTACCCCATCTAACATAACCTTGGGGTACAAATCTCCTCCGATCAAAACATCGATAGGACCGCTTTACAAAAACTTCGAATCTGCTAAAGGTACTTTAGTCAGTTGTTCTAGAATGGATTCATCTATTGAGGTCGAGGGTAAGTTACCAGTGAGTTGTGGTAATACAAACGCAGTAGCTTCTATTAAAAGATTTGGATCACGGGGTGAGCCTAAAACAAACGAACAAATTTTCGATGCGCTGTTAGAAACCCTTTGATTCAATCCCGAAATAACCGCATTTGTCTTGGAATACGGTAGTTTTAAAAGTTTTCGAAGTCGTTCAGAAATAAACGAGACTTCTGAAGCTGAATCAATTAAAGCGCGAGCTATATAAATTGAGCCCAAGTGGCAGATGTGAAACATGGCGGTTCCAAGTAGAGCTGAGGATAAGCCTGACGATTTCAAATTTTCCTCAGCTGTCGACAACATACTGTTAGAAGAAGCGGACTGTATATTTGTATGGAATGCCTGTGAAGCAGTTCCACCTGCAGTTTCTTTTGGGGGTTGAGTGTTAGAAGACACTCTGTGAAGTAGAGTATGATGTCTACTTTTGCACTTAGTGCACGAGAATTGACTTTTACAGTCTTTTATCGAATGGCCTTTTGAAAGACAGTTTAGACAGCAGTTGTGTTTTTTAATTGCAGTGAACCTATCATTAATCGAAAGTGACAAGAATTTTGTACATAAACGCAAAGGATGTTGTTGTTTCTGACACATTATGCAGTAAGACTGAGAAATATTTGTCGCCAGAGACACCTTCTTTCGACCCGTCGGGTTGGGTTGATGTGAGAATGCTTTTTGATGTTGGTTGGTTGAAGAAGATGAAGCTGACCATTTCACATCCACTATCGATTCCAAAGTTCTGAAGCGTTGAGTGAGAAATGCATCCATCTGACTCCATTCCGGTATAGCAGCTTTATCTAGTAGTGTTTGTTCCCACAGAGAAAGTGTTGTTTCAGGGAGTCGGTTTGAACACAGGAAGATTAGGATCGGATCCCAATTCCCAACGTTGACGTTATACGTTGCTAACGCTGATAGACATCCGTTTATGCCTCGCTGGAGCTCCTTTAACGCGGGTGCACTTTCGGTCCGAATAACCGGAAGCGAAAAAAGCAGCTTCAATTGCTTGTTGACCAAAACCCGTTTATTTTCGTACGCTGCCTTCAAATTTGACCATGCGATGTCGAATCCCTCATTTGATAGTGGGGGTTTGCTAACGATGTCTCGTGCTTCGCCGCTTGTTTTATGTCGAAGGTGGAAGAGTTTTTCGATGTTACTCAGATCCGCATTATTAATGTAAATCGCGGTGAAGAGATCACGGAAGGATGGCCACGACACATAGTCACCACGGAATATTTCTGTGGCACATGGCGGTGGGTTCAAATTATTGGAGCGCTTGGGTACTTGGGCAGGGGGCACATAAGAAGCAGTAGCAGCCGTCACGCTGTACTTCTGAATGCCTTCGCTAATGCGCGACAAACACGAAAGATAATCTTTAAAAGTTGAATTTTGTTTGGCCTTTACGGCTTCTACCTCATCTTCATCTTTCAGAGTTTGAAAGCATTTTTCGCATGCATCTTTAGTTTTAGACCAAATGTCTATCAACTCCGTTTTCAAACTCTCGAAAGAAATTTTCGAATGCTCGTTCAAAGTCGCTTCAACGAATCCCGCATTGAATTCGACAATCTGATCTGAGCACCTAGTGAAATAACTTGCTTGTCAAAGAACGAGAGTCGATTTATGTACAAATAACAAAGAACTAAATTATTGAAAAACAATTAATCGAAAAACAGCAAATACTGATTGACTTTAAACTAATGATGTAAATATAGAAAGTTCCTACAGGGTCAATGCAAAAATTTCCTACTGGGTCACTTGTGCTAATATGTATATGCACTTGTAGGTATGTAGGTGTGTATGAATGTAAATACACAGGCGACTAAGCAAAAAATGCAAAGTCACCAGCTGAGCGCCAACACGAACAAAAGGTGCGTGCAATAGGAAAAAACCGAAAATGCACCGATACGGGTAAATATGTGCTGTATGTACTTGTATATAAATGTACGATTGTTTATATGTACTTAGGCACGCACAGTAAAGTAGCGAAAAATGTCGCGATGCTGATTATATACACCAAAAAAAAAGATCTCTCAGTTCGAGAGATTGGAAATGTAAATATGTATGTATGTATATAAACTTATGTATTTACATATATTTAGTAAATAAGGAATACACCAAATTCGAAGATAAATAATACAGATAGATGTGGCCGAAATTAATATTTGAATATACTATGCTCCAAGATTTTTAAAAAAAATTTTATTTTAAAGAGATCACCACCAAAATAATTTGATTAATTGGAAACGATTTAAATCTTTTGAGTTATCGAGATGCGTTTAAATGCAAAAAGAACGTCACTTTCTTGTACACAATGACCACATATATCTGTATATAAAAATGTATGTACACAAGTAATTTTGTATGCACATATGCACATATGTATGTATTTGCACACAGAATTGCAGAACCAAGTGAAAGAAAAGAAAACTCACTTATGTATTTATAGTTCGATTTATGCATTCACTTTCACGAGTTGCTTTTTTTGTATATACTTTAAATAATATGTATATGCTTTTGATATGCACAATATATTTATGTGGAAAGGTATTTATTTTTTTTTTATTTTTTTTTCACTGCTTCGACTATGCATATGTACATACGTAAATATATGCTTGTTTATGTATTTTCGCACTTTTTTTTATGTATTTTGCTTAATATTTGCACTTTTCCTGTACAACTTGATTAAGATGGCACTGATTTTTTTTTTTCGAAAATTTATAGAAGAAAAAACACTTTCGCTTTATCTTTTATTTCTACCTGTATCGTTTTTTATTCTTTTTGCAGAGCTCAACAATTTATGAATTTTTTCACACGCACCTGTATGTTTGTATGTATTTCGTTAAATATAGCTGAGTTGACTTGTTCGTGGTTTCCTCGGACTTTCGCTCCTCGATCGGGCTTTTGTTCTTAAAAATATTTGCTGGGTTTTTTCTTCCTTCTCTGCTGAAATTCGGGTTAGAGTTAGGTATTGATGTATGTACTTCCGCTGTTATGTTCGACGGCTCAGGAGGACCAAAATGTTTTGCTGAGAAGCAAAACCTACGTACGCCGGTGCGAACTCACGACGATGTATCACAAGGAAGAAAAAGAAATATAAACACTTGTATTAGAATAAGTATATATGTATGTAAGATGGTTTATTGCAAGCGCATATACGAAGTTATATGCCTTACTCAAATACTATGTACATAAGCAAAGTAGGACAAAGGAATGGATGTTCACAATATACATACGTATTGTTGATATTACCTTAAATAGTGATCGCTGACTCAATGCTGCTGTCGGTCTGGCTGCTGTCATCAAAAAGAACCGCAGTTCAAACCGAACATCGCATTAAATAATCTTGAACTTCGAAAGAAGCGCACCGGTAGTTTTCCCGCAGCCGTGCAGAACACTTACCAGTGGTTCCCAACTATTGAAGGCTTTTGGCTCCAACACATATTATAAAATATAAACATCATAATACAAAAATAAATATATTATTTGTCAACAACATTGAGTGCAAGATTATTCTACATTTTAGTTGAATCATTTTATGAAGTATAAAATAGATTACTAATATGTATATTTATATATGTTCTTTATCAAGAGTTTACCTCAATGCGTTTTATAAAGTTATGAAATGTGTATAAATAAGCTTGTTTAGGCCAGCGTCTTAGATATGCAATTTAAGAGCCACCCTATTTAACATTTGTACATAAGACAACAGTTAACTGCTTTCTATTGTCGAACGCTTGCTATGTTAAAATTTCCCTTGCATAGAAAGCCGTTCGATGGCAAGAATGATAGAATACAAGATTGCGCCAATCGAGCTGAGAGCAACTGGTCGTGACGTTAAAATATACCAGAATGAGAGAACAAGACGAACTCGACAAGAAAAAGAAGAAGAAGAAGCATCGAACAAAAGGCAGTGTTGCCAAGTTTTCAATTTGAAAAAGCACCAAATTTTTATTGGTGTATTTTATGGACTTTATATGAATACATAAGGATGCCGATTCAAATTAATAAAAATCAATGTTTCTTGCACAACGGTCGAATTCTTTTGGCATGATTGAAGGTGCTGCACATATTTCGTTGTCGCTTATGATTGTCACTGTGCCATGAATTTTATTTAAATTTTTGTAAAATTGCTTACCACACTTACGATTGCTATAAACTTTGCACCACACTCAATAATTTTTGCGTTTTGAATACCCACTAAATTTGGTGCGGAAAGCATCAAGTTGGCAACAGTAAATGTAAACAANTGCTGCACATATTTCGTTGTCGCTTATGATTGTCACTGTGCCATGAATTTTATTTAAATTTTTGTAAAATTGCTTACCACACTTACGATTGCTATAAACTTTGCACCACACTCAATAATTTTTGCGTTTTGAATACCCACTAAATTTGGTGCGGAAAGCATCAAGTTGGCAACAGTAAATGTAAACAAAAGTATTTTATGACATCAGCGATTAGGTGGATGCTGTCAAATCGACGAAGAGAGGGTTAGCGGTCCGCGAATGGCGCGACCTTTATTTTCTGGATCGTGGTTCGATGGGCTCACTAAAAAAAAGAACGGACTGTTACTTGTTTTCCGAACATCCTTTTGAGAAGACGTCATCGTGCCACCAATTTTCACCGCCTCATCTAACTATATACATATATAACCTGAAAATACAATTGTACATATTAATATATTAAGCAATAAAACCATTGTTAATTCTATTTGTTAATACAAACTTCCTTGTGTACTTTCTTCTAATTAAAATACATCGGTGCAAACGGGAAACTGGGTTATTACCAATTTGCGGCACACCCGAAAACTGCGCTCTTGCCCATACTTGCCCGATGAACATGGTCCTCCGTCGCCGTGAGCAAAAATTATAAGAATTACCGGATATAAGCCAGAACAAAAACGCTAGGCAGCTTTAACAGCCGAGAATAAATTTTTCCAGCAGCATTGGATACGACAATTCCGCAATCCAGCACATCAGCTAATCAAGGAGCCCATACGTGGTCGCTACAGTACAATTGAATTCATCAGCTACAAAAATACAGCATAAAGCACATTAAAAAGGTACGTGGTTTTTTGAAATATCCCAGCTCTTGGTTGTATTTTTTTTTTTGGTGAAAAGTTTCATATATACATAAAAAGAAAAGTGTGCGGGTGATTTTATGAAAAATTAGAAGCGAAAAGACGTATTAAGTGCACATAATTACAGTCCACTAACATATTTGTTGTCTGTCCACTACAGGCACAATAGCCCTACTGCTAAATGCGCGCGAAAATCGGTTCAAACACATTGCTTCAGTGAAATAAAATTCCTTAAAAAACTGCAAAATAATAAGTTTAGAATCGGATTTAAAGTTTATGTAACGTTCATAGTGCGATTTATTTCAAATATTAGAGTTTCGTTTAAGTGGCATAAAGTGTATTAAATACTATACAACTCGCAAGGTTGCAGAGGCTTAACCTCAAAATCGCTATTTCGATTTTATATTAACAAAGTCCCTACCGCAAGGTATAGATTTACACCGATTTCAGAAAAAGTGTTATATATTTGCATCGGGTACACATATATACGTGTTTATCAAAAAGTATAAGATTAAATTAAATCTAATTGTCGGGTGGCGACCAATCTGATCTAGTGCATAATCGAAGCATAGCACACGCGCACATACATATAGTACTAAATAAAGCGCTTATGCATATATGTACATAGATACAATGAACAAGTTACAAGTTTTAACTTTTTATTTACAAAGTTGTGGAGTTGGGAGGCATATTTTGTGTTTTTTTGCAACGAGGGTGGCTATTTGGTGATATTTTCAATTGTGTCATTCACTATCGTGGGTGTTTTCTTTGAGTTGCTTATTCTGAGGAAAAATCTTGAGATATCTTATTAGGTTGTGGTTAAAACTTCAAAATGGAAACATACATTCGCTTAGCTGACTCGGTTATTGAATTTGATATCGAATTTCTTGGCACACCAACAAGTGAGCACACCAAGCATTCGCTGAAAATTCAGCAAGAGGAGCTAAAGGGGATGTGGGAGAAAGCCAAAGCACTTTTTGATGACTTGCCGGCTACGGAATCAATTGGTGCTAAAGATATAAGTTCGATACGTAAGAAAGGTAAAACGTGCTTTGCATCTTTTGTGCGTTGTATGTCCAAAATAAACGATTTATCGGAAATATTTGCAAAATCCGAGAAGGAAGATGAGGACATGTCACACAGCATAATTTACACCTACCGCCTTGTGATATCGACGTATTCAAAGGCGATTATTTGTCATGGCCAACATTTCGTGACATGTTCACGGCTATATATAAAATGAACAAGCGGCTTACACCCATTCAAAAACTTTATTATCTTAGTCAGAAAACGCAGGGTGAAGCCAGAGAAATTGTTAAGAAATGTGACCTGACAAATGATGGTTTTAACATAGCCTCGAAGAATTTGTGCGACAGGTATGAAAATAAAAGGATCCTAGTTAACACCCAGTTGAAGATACTCTTCAATTTACAGGCGGTGGAAACAGAATGCGGGAGTGCAATTAAGAGAATGCAAAGGGATATAAACAATTGCATATCTTCCCTAAAGAGTCATAAAATTGACATTTCAACCTGGGATCCAACAATTACATACCTCTGCTCCACAAAACTACCAGAAGATACTCTTTCACTGTGGGAGCAATCAGTGCAAAATAAAACAGAAATTTCCAGGTGGGCTGACATGGACAATTCTTGTCAAGTAGATTCCAAACCTTGGAATCAGTCTCGGGGTTAAGAGGAAACAAGGTTTCTAAAAGTCCAAAAAGTTCAAGTCATAAACATACCTCTGAACCCCACAAAAGAAACTTGGCACCTTCCAAACTAGTGTAAGCAAATTTACTTGCAAAATGTGTCAAAGAAATGATCACAGATTGCATATGTGCCAAAAATTCTTGAATATGTCGATATCTGATAGGATCGCTTTTATTAAAACCAACAATAGTTGTTTTAACTGCCTGTCCTTCGGGCATACGGTGTCGAAATGCACGAGTTCCTACAACTGTGCCAATTGCTATTCTCGACATCACACCCTACTCCATATACAGCAGAGCTGTGTAATGAATCAATTGAGTGTGCATTCTCATTTTTTTTGTTTCAAAAATGTGATTGTTTGATTTAAAAAATTTAACAACCACTCTTGAGATTGGTTACAAATCGTAAACACAACATATGTAGAGTGTTATGGAATGGTTAAGACCCATTCTCATAGAGAATGTGAATGCAAAAAAAAACTCAATCGTGTATGATTGTACGGTTATGGGAATGCAATCTGTCATTATCAATCAGTACTAATACTATTTGTTGTATCAGGGTTGATATTTGTGTACTCAAAATGTGAAATCTGAAGATCGCCATCTCCCTTAAAATAACTAAACAAATATTTGGTGCTGAAATATTTTTCTAAGTGTTTGGCCGAGCTTATCCTCAAAGTTGAGGCATGAGTTCTGTTGTTGTGACACAAATGGAGACACTTACATATTTAAGGCTGACACCGAACGCCAAATGGCGGATATATACTCGAAGGTTTGTAATTGCGTGCCGAAAGGACTACTGCTATTTTGGGTTATGATCTGACCAGGGATCTAACCGTGGTTCTATGGAGTGGAAGTACGCACATGTATGTATATATTATTCCCTTATTTGTTCTCAAAATGCATAAAAACTATAGTACGCTTGCAAACAATTAATAACATTTTGTGATAAATAGTTTTACAAACGTATTAGGACTCCAAATTTGTGTTTTAGTAAAATATCAATTAAATAAATTATTATTGTAAATTATTATTACAATAAATAGATATAAAAATGTTTATATTTGGCAACTCTTAGACTTTTCTTTAATTGTAACAAATGACAGATGTAAACAAAATAAAAAAATTTTTGTAATTTTACAAATTTAAAGAAAACGGGCATTCTTTACAAAAAAATATAGTAAGGCATCGAATTGCGCATATTTTTCTTACAATACCAAGTACCTCCAAGAAGTGTTAAACCACTAAATACCTTAAAAAACGCCTTCAAAAATTCGAAACGAGAGCGAAGTGCAGTGTTCAATTGTGATCGAAATTGCAGGCAAAATTTGTGCGTTTGTAATTAATGTTTTATTTGAAGAAATGTTGCCCCTTGTCATTAAAAATAAGCAAACCAAAGGCCTCCTCCCCACCCGCCTTCCCACTGGTGGTTACACAATACTTGAATAGCGTCTTAATTAACATTGGCTTGTTTTGTGCACGCACGGCCATTTAAACAGGCATGTCTGAATCGATTTCCTTCATCATTCTTAGCAATTTGATGTGAATTTTTATTGTTATCTGTTGCAAACAGACATTTTAGGAACTAAATAGGTTCTAAAATCTCTGTACACAAGCGCACTTATTTTTAACAGTTTCCAGTTTATGTAATATTGATCAAAACAGCTTTTATTTATTTTATGTATTATGTGATTTTTGGAAGTGTCGAATACAAAAAAGTGCTGTGACTGGGTTTATGTAATTTAAAATTGTATTGATCATTACTAATAATAATAGAAAGGCGCTTACACATCGATGGTCCTCTGCAATAACGACACAACTCAAAATTTCATATATTTCAGTAGAGCCAATTAAAGACTTTTTGTTTCGTAATTTCGCAATAATATGTCTTGGAACGGAATAATTCCGGATTATTTACAGTCATATTGTAAGCTTTCAAATTATGTCTTTTTCTAAAGATTCAGTAAGTGTTGGTCTGCAAAACTACGAAATAAGTAACAACTCGTATGTAGTTAAACGAAAAAAAAATCCATTTGTGTTGCTGAAAAGTGTCGTTATTTCAGAATTTTTGGCTTATGCCAATATTCACGATTAATGTTAGATATTTGTCACTGTTCAGTAGTAGAGATGGGCACGGGCCTAAATTTTCAGGCCCGGCCCGGCAAGAGTGCAAAATCAGCTTTTAAAACACGCACGAGGCCGCACGTTAAGAATTTTAGTGGGGCCCGGCCCGGCCCGGCCCGGCACGACGGGACACGTCCCAGGCCGGAAATAAAGAGCCAACTTTTATTGTATGTATACATATGTACATATTTTTAATTTTGTGTTTATGTATGTATATTTACTTAAGCGAATCAATTTTTTACATCAAAGTTTTTTTTTTATGTATTTTCTGGGAGTGGAAGTGGAAGGTATTTTATGTACAAATATGTAAACAAAACTACTAAGGGTCTTATTTTTTCTATCGGTTTCCAAGTATTTCTTTTTTTGCTTTTTTTTTGATAAAAACAAAAGCTTATCTAAATTTGTAGTATTGGCAACGCGCTTTTTCGTGCTTATTCGTGCTTTTATGAAATTTTACTGAACGCCCATACACGCACGAGTTCGTGCTGACAGCAAATATTCCGGCCCGTACCCGCGGGATTATACAGGGGCCCGTGCCATCTCTATTCAGTAGTAAGGATTGGCTACTTCGGTTTTATTCCAAATGGCAAAACTTTGCCGCTGCCGGATTGGTAACAACAAAGCCTATGTCGACTTGCCTCAGAAGAATATGGTTATTTATAAACCTAATCCACTATATAACTCAAAAACCTGAAATTTTTAGTTATGCCGTTATTGCAGAGGACCATCGACATATGTTAGTGTTTGGCCGAGCTACTCCTCCGATTGTGGCATGCGCCTTGATGTTGTCGCACAAAGGAGAGGGACCTACAGTTTTCACTATTACAAAAAACTTTTTCCTTTTTTATGTTGGCCGGAACCCTCACCCTGCGGAATGGTAGTAAAAATGTTCCAATTATAAGTTCCATAAATATAAGGAGACTTTTATTGTTTAATTTATTTTTTGAACATAAACTTGTATCTTGAACTTCTTTTTCCAAAAAGTGAGGATGTCAAAATTTTAATAGATATCGCATGTACGGTAATTTTCCCAAGATATCTCCTAATAGATAAGTTCATGAAAATTATTCCAAACGAAAACTTAAAATTGATAAAAAAATAATAACTAAATTTA